TGTGTGTGTGTGTGTGTGTGTGTGTGTGTGTGTGTGTGAGAGAGAGAGAGAGAGAGAGAGAGAGAGAGAAGGGGGAGAGGGGGAGAGGGACAGAGGGAGAGAGAGAGGGAGATGGGGGAGAGGGACAGAGAGAGGAGATGGGGGGAGAGGGATAGAGGAAGAGAGAGAAGGAGATGGGGGGGAGAGGGACAGAGGAAGAGACAGAGGGAGATGGGGGAAGAGGGGGACAGAGAGGGAGATGGGGGAAGAGGGGGACAGAGAGGGAGATGGGGGAGAGGGACAGAGGAAGAGAGAGAGGGAGATGGGGGAGAGGGACAGAGAGAGGAGATGGGGGGAGAGGGATAGAGGAAGAGAGAGAAGGAGATGGGGGGGAGAGGGACAGAGGAAGAGACAGAGGGAGATGGGGGAAGAGGGGGACAGAGAGGGAGATGGGGGAAGAGGGGGACAGAGAGGGAGATGGGGGAGAGGGACAGAGGAAGAGAGAGAGGGAGATGGGGGAGAGGGACAGAGAGAGGAGATGGGGGGAGAGGGATAGAGGAAGAGAGAGAAGGAGATGGGGGGGAGAGGGACAGAGGAAGAGACAGAGGGAGATGGGGGAAGAGGGGGACAGAGAGGGAGATGGGGGAAGAGGGGGACAGAGAGGGAGATGGGGGAGAGGGACAGAGGAAGAGAGAGAGGGAGATGGGGGAGAGGGACAGAGAGAGGAGATGGGGGGAGAGGGATAGAGGAAGAGAGAGAAGGAGATGGGGGGGAGAGGGACAGAGGAAGAGACAGAGGGAGATGGGGGAAGAGGGGGACAGAGAGGGAGATGGGGGAAGAGGGGGACAGAGAGGGAGATGGGGGAGAGGGACAGAGGAAGAGAGAGAGGGAGATGGGGGAGAGGGACAGAGAGAGGAGATGGGGGGAGAGGGATAGAGGAAGAGAGAGAAGGAGATGGGGGGGAGAGGGACAGAGGAAGAGACAGAGGGAGATGGGGGAAGAGGGGGACAGAGAGGGAGATGGGGGAAGAGGGGGACAGAGAGGGAGATGGGGGAGAGGGACAGAGGAAGAGAGAGAGGGAGATGGGGGAGAGGGACAGAGAGAGGAGATGGGGGGAGAGGGATAGAGGAAGAGAGAGAAGGAGATGGGGGGGAGAGGGACAGAGGAAGAGACAGAGGGAGATGGGGGAAGAGGGGGA